TGATGCTGTATTTGTACACATGCTTCTTGCTTGTTATTTCCCTGTTAGTGGTTTCACTAATCAATCAGGTGGAATCCTAAGACACACTTTTTAATCATGATAAAACTTGTAATGATTTTTCTGTAAGTAGGTATTTGTGAAATTGGCATGTGGTCTGATGTGAAAAATGATGATATTCTTGTTCAGAAATTATTATTGGAGGTGTGAAATATGCAGAGCATAGGGATAACCTGGCTTTTGGGTAGGTGGCAAAATGGGCAAAGAGCAAGACCTCCTCTGTGTTCCAGCATCACTTGGGAGTTCAGCTTAAATTAGAAACTTGTGTCATGACAGTGACACAAGTGAATCAAAGTAATGACAGTGCTTGACAGTGAATCAAAGTAATGAAAAATATGTGCCAAATTCATACTTGATCACTATCTTACTAATGACCCACTTTGGATCAAACAGAGATCCTGAAAGTTAATTTTGGGTGTCATTGTTAATACAACTTTTGTGCTGTTTCTGATAAAGTGTTTGTCTTTTTATCAGTGGAGCAGAAAACTTCATTAAAAAAAACCCCCAAACTTATAAACTATTTTCATTTTTCCAACCAACAGACTGTACATTCTAGTAAAAGATCACAGCTTCTTTTTTTTTTTCTTGATATTTGAGTAATTGAATCTGTTACCTGCATGAAAAAAAAGTTTTGTTGCTAATTTGATCATGCCCAGCCATTGTACTGTTCACTTGTACATAGCTCACTTGTACTATTGTTAGCATGAGTCCCTCCATGTAAACATACTAAGTTATCAATTTTCAGCAAAGGAAATTGTAATGAATTTTCTACCATGCACCCAGGTGCACTGCAATGTCTTCTTTCCAGAAAAGTTTTTCAGTATCTTCAGGGACTGAGACTTCACAACCTCTCTGGGCAACCACTTTAATTAAATGCACAAATTATTTGTCCAGAAGAAATTTTGGAGCATTTTGCAGTCTTAGAGTAGTAGCAATAGTACCAAATACATCAACCATTAACTGTTAAAAAGGTCAGTAAATAAATGAGGGACATGTCAAAGTCCTGAAATAACTGAGTCTTTTAAATTTAAACACAGTCCCCCAGATATAATCCCCTCATCATAAAACTTCATGCAAGAAAATAGAGACTTTTAAAGTAGTGAAGTAATTTTGTATCTAAAATTACAGAGTTTTGTAAGCATCAGATCTCAGATTTTATTTTATTTACATGTTTTAAGGTAACTTCCTTGAAATAAGTGTGCTTGTGAGTCTTAAAATGCTTATGAATTTCAACATGACAAATTGCCAGTATGTCCAAAAGTATAGTTTGAGGTGCATTGTAAATTATTCATCAGCACTTTCTCTTTCCTGATTAAAATCTGTGTTGGGAGGTATAGGTAATAAAACATAGTCTGAGTAGAGTCAAAGCAGAGTAAATGAAAGCACAGAAAAACATAGGTTGAATAGGGTCAAAGCAGAGTAAATGAAAGCACAGAGATTACTTAATGACTGTAGATGTGTTTAGGAATGAAAACAGACTCCAGCTGTAAAATCAAGCTAATACTAAATGAGTCGACCAACTTTGTCTTCAAAGTTCGTTATACTTTTCAGAGTCTTTGGAGCTCGTTGAATAGGGTCAAAGCAGAGTAAATGAAAGCACAGAGATTACTTAATGACTGTAGATGTGTTTAGGAATGAAAACAGACTCCAGCTGTAAAATCAAGCTAATACTAAATGAGTCGACCAACTTTGTCTTCAAAGTTCGTTATACTTTTCAGAGTCTTTGGAGCTCATTGTAGGTGTATTTAGGAATGAAAATAGACTCCAGCTGTAAAGTCAAGCTAATACTAAATGAGTCAACCAACTTTGTCTTCAGAGTTCTTTATACTTTTCAGAGTCTTTGGAGCTCATTTCTTTCAAGTCCAATTAAACACTCTAGAGATGGGAAACTCGTTAACTTGACTATCTAATGTTCTGTGGCACTAGGTAATAGGGAAACTTGTTAACTTGATTATCTAATGTTCTGTGGCACTAGGTAATCTGGGATATTCAGCCTTTCTTTCTGTGACATTACAGTTATTTGCACCTCAAGTTTTTCACACCTAACCTTTGCATCCCTATGGAAGAAACTCAGGAAAATTAATAGAAAGATTTGCCAAAGAAAATGGGTTCCTCTCAAACTATTTCTTTTCAGTGGCCTACAGCCAAAAAGAGGAAAAAAAATTCAGTAAAACATGAAGATGAAGATTTAGAGAGCTTCTCTGCCAGTGTGTTCCTGTAGCATAAATGCACTTTTTGTTTTCCAAGAGCAGCAAAAGTTACACAGGGTTTTGTATGTATATTTAGTAAATTTATCCTTTACTCAGTGTTCTCATTTGAATAGTTGGAAGGAGGTGGACTTTAACTGGGGAGCAAGAGCACCTGAGCCATACCAGCAGTTGAAAAATAGATATAGAAGCACTTGTATTTTTCTCAAGAAAATTCTCTTTATTCCAGCAGCAACCATTCCAGTGTCAGTCACTACTAGGAGTCCCTACACATATGAACATCCTAAGACTGCAGAGGGTAATGATTATGAGTCATCTTTAGTCATTCTTTTCACTGATCTGATAGTATGTGCAGTTGAAAACACCATTTCCTGTAGGCTTCTTGCTTATTCACATGTGGTCCAAACCCCACAAACGGAAGTATAGTCTTGGGGCTTTATTATTTCTCCGTATTTCTAGCATGAAGATATCTTCTAAGAGACAGAATATCACTTCAAAGGTATCTTAATTGGAAGCTTCAATTACATTAGAAGAAGAAATAATAAGAATTATTGCAATGATAAAGATTTATAGAAATAACATAATCTAAGAATGACATTTAAAACTACAAACTGGTGAACAATTTGTGCAGTAGGGGGAATTTTTCGAGGTGTCCTTCAGTGAGCCCTGAAATATTATATCTAATTCAAAGGACAATTTGAGTCACTGTTTGCATTTACTGTGCAGATTGTATTCTGAGAAAGGCTTCAAGATTTTTTTCAGAGATATAGCTTTGCTCTTTAAAACCTGGATGAAGCTGACTACATATATGATACTTCACTGGGCAAACTCTAAGTCCATACTTAAATGACTTACTAAAATAGAATCAATTTGTTTGGTTAATTAGCAACAAATCACTTAGATTCAGTGTTTTCAACTGCAATAATTTCTACATCATTAAATGCTTTCAAAATTCCTCTAATGACATTGATTTGTCAAGGTCAACATTGGATAACAAGGTTTTCTTACCATCGTTTGCCAAGTCTCTTTTCTTTGGCTTTTGACTAAACCTTTAGAAGTTAATTTTGCTACAGAAGAACATCCAGGTCTTTGATTTCTCCTTTATTCAAGGCTCTGTCTGCTTGTTTTGCCCATATCCAACAATATTTCATGCATTGAACACATAGTACCATTTCTTTTTCTGTTGTTATTTATTGCTATGAACTGAAGGTAATTTCCTAGACTTCATTTCTTCATTGCTGAATCTGAATGTGACTCTTCTATGGGACACCATTTGCTTTCAGTTACAATACTGTTTTCACAAACCATTTTTTTTCTAGTATCCAAAATACACATTCCACACATCTGAATCTCTAGTCATCTGCTAAGACCAAAACACCTCAAGCTAAATCTGATAGGGCACTTCTTTTGAAATGTGTACTTCAAGACTTGCTATTAATGCAGAAAGTAAGAAAGAGAACACAACTTTTTTTTTTTTTTTTTGTCCTGTAGGAGGGGAGAAGAAAGAGAAATCAATTTGCTTCCGAAAACAATTTGCAGACCTAACAAAGATTATAACTTTATTCTTGGAATCTGAAGTTGGCTCTTTTGTTTTTAAGATTCCACTTATTTTTCAAAGGCAACCTGAAAATGGAAATTAGTGTTTTGTAGAAAAAGATTTAGAATTTGAATTCCAAAGGTAAATGATGAGCTTGAATAATGGCACAGCCATTGCAAACCAGGGATATGTAGTGAGAACATAAGAAAAATTATTGACTAGTTTAAGTTTTTTGTAAAGTATCTGGCCACTGTCAGTAGAAGTTAATACTGGCTCTTTTGGCTTTTATTCCTCCTTTGCAGCAATATTAATATTATGGAATATTATACTGTGTATGTTAATAGACATGTAATAAATACTGTAGTACCAAAGCATTATTTACAAAGTTTTATAATTACATATATGAAATAAATTTTAATAATGGCTTCATTATGAAGCCCATTTTTAAAACTGATAGATGTATAAGAGAGTTTAGGAGACTAGTGAGGATCAGTTATAGAAAAGGTTCAATCTTTAGGTGTGTATATCTGTATTTTATATGCTACTTTAGTTGTTACTGCCTTGAGACAGGAGACTTTATGCATTAATATAAATATTTTTTCTGTACTGACACGAAATTTTTATAAATTCTGCCATTTCATAATTTATTTTTTTCCCATTTGGCATAGTTTGTGAGGAGGAAAAGGACATGATATATTGGTTTTGTGATCCAAATTTTAAGAGGATGTAGTAACAACACACTAAGAAGTTTTTTATCAGATAATTACTAAATATAGCTGTACAAATAGTAGTCTTTTAGTTTTCTGGTTAACTGCTCACCTTTGAGGAAACATTCATGGTCGTGGTCAGCACGGTACTTTCAAGTAGTAACAGACTTCCATTTGGGGATTCCTGACATTTTTGTTTAACTAGAGTCCCTTGCTGTAGCTGAGTTAAGCTCTGTGATCTCTTCTCTTGCTTGTCCTACTGATTTCTATCCACATATTTTTGCTTCTGCTGCCATCAATTTTGTCCAATTTCTTATTTAACCTCTATTATTAGGAACTGAATTGCCTATGGTTTTAAAAAGTAAAAGTTAGTTTGAAGATCCATATTACTGTGGTGTTGTAGTAGCACCTGCTTTTCTACTTACCAGTGCAGTAATTTTAAGTTTTTGGAGTATGTTCGACACTTACTTTGTCACACTATTTCTGTTGCAGTCTTGGAACCTATTACACTTAGAATTGAACCACCAAGGTCAACCATAGGTAATGTTATTTCCTTGGCAAGCTGTCATGTTTGATTTTTTTTCATCACAGAAAGCATCACTGATCACCTTATGCCTTAGGATTGTTTCATTTAACTTCATTTTTCTTCTAGGTAATTCTCTTGCTTGGCATTCACGTCACTTGGCCATATTGCTCTCTTCACAGCTGGAATGTCTCCTCTTATTTTAAGAAAATGACACTGGCAGCTCTGAATCACCTTTCTCATAATTATGCTTGTTTGTGCTTGTTCCAGTTTTTATTAAAAAAAGCCAAGCAAAACAACAAACATGAGCTTCAAAAATTACTAAAATTCTACTTTCTTGCATAGATCGTTGTAAACACATGGAGGGTATTACCTGACTTTCCTACTTCCTATAAAGAGATTTTTCTTTTCTGTTGCAGGTGTGAGGTTTCTGTGCTTGTGTGTTCAGCTGGTATCAGTTCCTAATTGCTGTGCAATTTAACCAACGTATTACCCACATTTTCTCTTCCAGCTCCCAAGGAGACTCAACGTGTTCCCTCTAAACCTAAAAGTACACGCAAACCTCATATCCCACAAGCCAAAGATGGTAAACTGCTTTGTGGTTGTTTCTAATACAGTTTATATTGGATTGAAATGTATTTCTGAGCAGCTGTTTAGTTAGCTGAGCCAGTGAAAACATAATGGGGTTCTGTTCTGCTGTGTTCAGCGATTTATTTGCACTTTTCAGGAGTAGAAATATTCACTAGGTTATTTTCCATCATGCAAAAGAATAAATCTCTGCTACTTCATGGCAACAGGATGCCAATATTGTTGTTAAGCTCAGTGACAGTGGTGACTAAAGCAAATGCCTAGGAATTGGAAGGATGTACCATGGCTAGTTAGATGGTATAATTCTTTCCCACATTGCATTGCATTGTTAGAATAACTACATTTCCATTTTAAGTCACAATTACTTGATTTCATTATGTTATTAATTTCTGCATGAGCCAGTAAATTACCCAGTGCATAATTAGTATTTGTTTATAAATATTTATTAGCATTAATTATAATTTAAACTATATACCAAAATACTGGATTTTTATGACATTAAATAAGCAGTTGAATTCAGTGGTAGGCAGAAAAAATTAGTCTCTGTCCTCTGTTATCCGGTTGGTAATAACCACAGGAAATTTTAAGGAAAGCAAATATCAAGATACGTTATGTTTTGGTAAATGTGAAAAATTTCATGATATGCACTTTACTGAAGACCTTTAAATTGTAGACATTAAGCAATATTTTTTAAATCTGTTGTGATTTCCTCTTGCAGAAAACAGTCAAAATCCTTGTCCTCTCATACTTTTGTGTAACCAAGGCAGCAGATCATAAAACATGTTCCCAAACTACACCTTAAAATGCAACTTCTCATAAATTCAGTTTTTATCTCTGCAGCCATTTTGGCCTTCTCAAAAATGGTTTTGTCACACAAATGTTACAGGTCTGTACTGTTCCATGTTTAAAAAAATAAATAAAAAAGCCCCAAAAACTTTCTGTTTCAAAAATCTATAATATATAGATCATTTTTTACAGCATCATCCACTTACCTTGTGATTGTCTTAAAAAAACCCAAATAAATTAATTGTATGTCATGCATCCAGCAGAACTGACACACAGAGAGGGAAACCATTTCTATTGAGACTCTGTTTCTAATGTGAGAAATGCAAGAAAATAGCATCAGTGTCACAACCAGTTTTATTTTAGATCCATACCAGTTTAGAACTGAAGTGGATGATCATGCACCATTGTGCTCTTTAATAACACAGCATCCAGAAAACAAGCAAGTGGTCTCTGATTCCAGTTGTATCTATAAATTGCATTGGAAAAGCACCCCAAAGGGAAGAGACTTGTGTCCCTAAAAAGCCATTTTTTTAATAAGAGAATGATACGTATTTGGATATCTCGTTGAAGCCTAAGGGAGAACTAAGCTCACATGATGTTGCAGAACACACTGATTTCTCAGAGACTTCTTTAATTTCACTGTTTCTGTAATGAGGCAGTACCCATAGTATATGATTCAGAATGCAATTACTAGACAACCAATACTAATTGTATTCTCTTACCTCTTTTCTTTTGATACAGTCCTGGAATCTATAACACTTAAAACTGATCAGCTAAAACCAACAATAGGTAACAGTTTTACCTACAGGGTAAATCACGTGGGGAGCATCATATTTAACTTTTTTCTCAGTATATACTGAGCATCACAAATACATCTTCATTCCACTCCACTGTCATCATATTTTTGCTATTTAATTTCATCCTGTAAGGGTTTATTTGCAAGTCTACACTAACAGTTCATAATCATCCTTTTTAGTTATTCTCACACAAATATGTTCTGTAAAATAGACGGAAACACCACAATCTACCTTTGATTATGTGTCTCTATACTCAGTTTCTGTCGTGTGCTGCTTCATCTTTTATACTGGTCCATCCATACTAGCCTCTCTTTATGTTATCATGCTGCAGAGGTTCTCCATCAGCACCATTTCTTTGTGACCAGACATTCATATTTCTCCATTTCTCATACAAACTTTTTGTGTCCCAAACATGGGTTCTTTTTGATATTATGCCTTCTGTCAGTATCAGTTCTCCAAAAAATTCTAATAGTTGCTTTTTTTCTTTTTTTCTTTGTTTTTTTTTTAATTTTAGGTCCAAAAGAACCAGAGCGTTTTCCCTCCAAACCTAGAACATCACCAAGTTCAGAGGTGCCACAAACAAAACCTGGTAAGTGCATTGTTTCTTTATCTTATCATACTGATATGTATCTCACGAATCCTATTGTGACCAGTGAAGCTTCAGATTGATATGTATCCCTTGGGTGGATATGACGGAACATTCCTTGAGGGATAAAATCCAGTGACATGTGGAATTTATAAGCAACTGAGTAAGTTTAAAATCTCTATTTGCTGTTCTTTTTTACGTTTTAAGTCACTGTGCAGTGGGAGCTTTCCATACAATTGTCAGCAAAAATAGGTCTCGTCTGTGTGAATTTGCCTGGGTTTTGGGAAAGTGAAAGTAAAAAAGAAGTGGTGTCATTGCAGAAAGGAAAGGTTCTGTTCTGTGTTTCTCAAATTGTGTGATTGTTTTTATCTTTCCCAGGCACAATTATTAATTTATACTTTTCAGTTCACCTTTCCACAGTCCTTTTGTTGTTCAGATATTTAAGACCATGTAATACAAAACCCTGAAATAAATCAAGAGAGTGTACAAAGTCAAAGGTGAAAAACCACCCACAGTCTCTTTGTGGCTTTTACAAAAGCTTCAGATTTGTACTTTGAATCTGTTCTCTATTAGAGCTATTACCCTGAACCAGAGGCAATTCTGAGCAGCATGATGCTATGATGTGTTGAGTTTCAAGGAGGAGTGACCATCTGCCATTGGCTGTAGCAGGGATGGTATGATCATTGTGGAGACAGTGATTGTAATGTTTTGAATGTTCTCAGTAATACTTGTTTTTGTTGTTTTGTTACACTAATGCAGTTCTGGAACCAATTACATTTAGAACTGAGAAACCAAAGTCAACAGTAGGTAATGATACTTTCTTGTTTGAATAGTCACTGTCTTTTTTCTTCAACAGAAGTAATTGAGTAGACCTGAAAAAAATGATCAAATTTCTTTGCATGTTCTTATTAATTTAACATTCAAGATTCTCTGTCTCTTTTCTTATTTTCTCCTCATACAATTGAGGAGAATCCTTGTGCCTTTCACGTTGTTATGCACATAACATAGGGCAATTTCCTTCAATATTTAGTTATAAGGGGCAGATCAGAACAGGGTCCTAACATATTTTCTCAGTCATAGTGTAGAGGTGGCACCATTTTAGTTAGTCATATGGTTTGGGTGGGCAGAGCTGCATGCTGCAGGCTTTCTTTTTCTGCTTCCCTTCCCCTCTAGTTCTACAAAATGAAATTCAGTCCTTTATAGAGGTCTAAGAAATAATTCTTTCACTTGAAACAATCTCACTGTCAGAACACAATACCTTCAATAATCTTGGGTCATATGATTCCTTGAGGCAGATCCATTTGACTAAGGCATTTTTGTCACTTGAATCTTGTACTGTGAATGGTTTCATGACAAGCTCCATTACAGAAGAGTGGATTGCATTTGAAGATACTTATTTTCATTTCTTCTTTTATTTTTTTAAGTCCTCTTCTTAAATAGAATAAATAATTTTATCGCACGCTTGGGTGATATGTCACTGAAGATTATTTCTTTTCTCTGTAACCTGATTTTATTCAAAACTCTCTTGTGCATCACTTCCATAGGATATCTTTGGTTCGAATCTTTATTTTGTTTTTGCTGACTGTTGTGGGTGATAGTGGACGCTGATACCTTGGAAAACTTCTGTAATATTTAACCCAGTTTCTTTCATTCAGCTCCTAAAGACACACGTCATGGGCCTTCCAAACCAAAAACATCGCCCAGTCCACGTGTTCCTCCAACTAGAGCAAGTAAGCTTATCAATATTTTGGCCTTTAGTGAATGAAAGTTTCATCAGTTTGAAAAGTTTCAAAATGCAAGAGTTCTCTGAAGGTACTTATTGAATAGGCTGTGTTTCACTGTCATAATCAAATTTTGCTATATAGCTCTCATGGAACAAGACAATCAACTAGATATTCATACATATCAATAACTTATAATGATAGACATGTGAGGATTAACGCTCATTTTAGCCCTTGCACATAGGAAAATTTGCATCTTAATGTCCATAGAGTGTGACAGCTTTTAGTTACCCATTTACGAGTGTAAAATTGCAGGACTTTCCTGTTCCCTAAACTTTGGCAATTGCTCTGTTCAACTGAAAATTAGTGGTAAATTTCCATGTTTCTTCTGCTTTGACTACTTTGCTGGAGATTTTGCATTTAAAAAAATGCACAGTTGATTTAAAGGAGCAGCAGATTTTTAAGTATGAAACACCTGAGAATCACAACAAGAGAAGTGTTAGAACTACAGCAGTTTAGTCTGCAGAAAGCTGTTTGATATTCCTGAGAGGAGTTAATCGGACATTGCACTGTAACTGTCACTTTTTGGAGAGTTAATTGGACATTGCACTGTAACTGTCACTTTTTCTTTAGTCTCTGCACTAACATAATATTGATTGCACGGACAGGAGATCTCTTCATGATTATTTTCAAATGACAGAAATAATTCCTAAGAAACAATGCATCTCCTGTCAGGAAACTCAAATACTTAGATTGAATGATCATCCCCAATAACAAGTTCAAAACTTTGCTTATCTTTGCAGGTCCAAGAATCATCATGCCCAATAAACTGTTTTAAACTTTGTTCAACTTCACAGGTCCAAAAGATAGTCGTCGAGTCCCTTCCAAGCCCAGGGCATCACCAAGTCCAGATGTGCCACACACAAAACCTGGTAAATATATTGGGTTTTTGAGCTTGAATATTCAGGCTTTCTGTGGGTTGTCCTTCCTTGAATGAAACAAGCGTTGATTAACATCTCTTCATATTATAAATACATTTTCTAATGATCACTAAATAGGTGTTTAAAGGAAGATAGAGCTGATTTCTATTGTTAGTGTCCAAGTTTTAGAGTCATGTATGCTTTTCAGCCACATGACAGCTATCAATGATAGCTGTATAGCAGTGTAGACAACATACAAACATTGTAGGAACATTCTTGGAAGAAGTTGCATCTCTTCTGTGCCTATCGAGAGGTGCTTAGAGAAAAACATATTTGAGGGCCTTCATGTATGACTCTAAATATCTGTAAGTCAAATCACCCATATGGTTGTGTGCCCTGGGAATGGAATTTGACCCTTAAAAATATACTTAATAGGTATTTACATACTAGTGAACTGCCAAACCTCTGTAACTCCTAATGGTTCTGAAAGTTATCAGTTGAACATTATTTTCAGTGAGTATTCACTAATTTAAAAAAAATAATAAAAAAAATAAGTATGTGTTCCAATTTGAAAATAAATCAGTCATGTAAAAGGAAGTATTTTTACCCTTTTGCTTATACTTACCACTAATTCTGTGTATCTTCTTGTTTTTATGAAGTTTTGGCACCTAGTACTTTTACAGTTGAACCACAAAAGACAGCAACAGGTAAAGATGTTACCTTGAGCTGGTCATTATTATTTTTACCCTGCTGCTTGGACCAATGCTTGTATATCATCAATCTGGTTTTCACATCATCTGTTTGTGGTTTTGATTTGTTTTCTTTTCTACTTATTGAACTTAATTCTACTCTGTTCCAGGTATTGAAAGATTCCTAGCTGTTTTGTTGCCTTCACAGAAAATTTCTTTCCCTGTCACACACACTGTAGTTTCTTTGATACTTGTAGGAGACAAGCATGCCATGGGTATTCCAGTTATGAGCTCTGAAATACAGATGGAAACAGGTCCACTATAGTTGTCTGTGGTCTTTCAGCTTTTCGTTGCCCGACTCCAGATTTTGCTTCCTTGATCAAGTTTCCACCCACGTTTTTCTTCATGATATTCTTTTCTTTTCAAATTCCTGTATGTATCTGACACTCAGTTTTTCAGTCTCTCATGCAGGGATTGTTTTCCTTTGCAAGCATGAGGCATGCAGTGTCTGTGCAATAAACCTGTCTAATTTCTGAAAAGTATAAACCCTTAAAACAAGTCTTTTCTTTCAGCTCCTAAAGAACCACAACATACTCCCTTTAAACCTAAAGCAACTCCTATTCCAGATGCTCCACACAGGAAGTTTGGTAAATTATCCAGTCTTTTGTCAAGCTGTGGCTGCTAATTGAGCAACTGTTTTCAGGGTGGGCAGTGGGGGAGAGTTGTCATCAGTGCATTTACTGTTATCTGGGTATCATTCTAGCTTAAGAAACCTCTGCAGTGCTGCAATTAAGTCATATCACTGATGGAAACTTCAACAGTTCAAGATTTTTTTTTATCTTATGCAGATATTACCAGAAGAATATCTGAATTTTTCACAGCTTGCATCTGAGCAACACACTTCAGTAATTTGCACCATGGTTTTGTAGCTCTTATGAGAGAAATCTCTTAACGCTATTGCAGTGCTTTTCCTCTCTATATACATTTTCATCCAAATTAGACTGAGGATTCCCTTCAGGTGTATTTTGATTAGATGACTCCCCATAATAATCCCCTTTCACAGTGATTTCACAATCACATCTGTGATTTCACTGAAGTGTTGTTACACTTGTTTCATGACCACAAATTTCTGAGTGTAAATGCCCATTGCTGTTTCAAAGCATCCCTTTCCTGGTGTATACAGTATAGTGCTAAAGGTTTTTTTAAGGGGGTGGGAGGGAAAGGGAGATTCTATTCATTATTCAGATCATTCACTGACACTTTTTCCAACAGAAATTTTTCCAACCTTTGATGAACCAGATACTACTATGATTCCTCATATTCCTGAAAGAACAAAGGCAACATTGGGTAACCATGTGTTTTTTTATAAATAATTATTCTATTTTCCATTCTTTTTAGAGAAGATCATCTTAGAGAGAGCTCATTCCTTTTTATTAAAAGCTAATAATGAAATTTTGCTCTGCTTCTAGATACTTACTTGCTCTTTGGTCTTGATAAGAGTAATAATGCATGTGCTTATTTACTTTGAAGGGTTCTTTTCCTCATCTTCTAGCCTTTCCAGTCATGATGATGCAATTCCACCAGAAGTTGTCTATTTTCCAGTAAAAGGGGACTTCATTTAAAAAGCAGATAGTATTCTTGTAACTTCTTCATCTGACGTATGGATAATGTCATTCTAAAATTCTCTTCTTCACTCCTCATGGTATAATTTTACTGAAGAAAATTATAAAGTGTCAACTATAGTATAAAATATAGACTAGCTATGCCACCCTCTAAATCCAATACTAGTTCTTAAAACCATCCTCTCTGATAACTTCCAGTCAATCACTGTGGGAAAATTTTCTTGAATATATCAAACGTTAGCTGAGTATTCTTTCTTCTTGACTTAATTGTCAGATGTGGACCAATTCAGGGTCAATGGATCCAAGCAGTATTGGGCAGCAGGAGTATTCCTTGAGCAATCTTTGCCAATAATCAGTTCTCTGTCCTCAGTTTCAGAGACATTGACAATGATTTTCTGAGAATGAAATGATATCATTAATGAAGTGTTAATAGCCATGTAGTGATCTTCAAGCTATGTTTTTCCTTTTTGAGGAAGAGGAAGTGAAAAATGCTTTTCATCATGCTTCCATTTTAATATCTATTCACTGTATGCATTGATACTTAGGTTAGTATGAATTCCATATCTCTTTCTATAGCTTTATGAAGTATGTGCCTTGTTGTACACATCTGGGGTTACCTGATGCAATATTCAGATGCAGAAAATGGTTCTCCAGAGCAAGGGGGATGAAGAATGCAAAAGCTAAGGCAAATAATTTGGGACCTCTCACATTGGTGTGAATCACAGACTAGCAAGATAACCTTTCCCAGAAAATGATTCCTACTATGCCGAGAATTTTTAGCTGAATGGTATGAAGATAACAACACTTAATCATTCCCACATAAATACAAAAAAGTTTATAGATCAAGTTTTGTACAAAGGGTCCACTGAAAAATAGATCCTGTCCTCAGATACTCATGTATGGCAGATATGGAAGATGTAGGTTACTACTATCTATTTTGTCCCATTACTTTACAGTATGATGTTCATGACTATATTCCTCATTGCTTCAAGCAAAGCTACAAATTGGTATATAGTTTTTGGGAAGTCTGCTTGTGTAAGTGGCCATTTAACCTGTTTTCCTTTCTTTGCAGGAATTCCAGCTGATTGATTTTCAGCTTTACCCTTACATAATTTGCATTATTACAGATCAGATCATACTTATGTTCCTTGTGTGCTATGAAGGCAGTGTGTTTTTTCAATTATTGTTCTGGGTGCTGTTTGTTTTTATTCCAGCTCCAACTGAAAAACAGTTCATTCATACCAAACCAAAAACACCTGGAAAACCAAGAGTGCCACACACCAAACCTGGTAATGGAATCATTCTTTTAATTTCATATCTTTGTGTTTAATCATTCTTTACCTTAGCCTCAGGTTTTGTGCTTCTCAATGGAATCACCCATAGATGGTTTTGTGCTGAAACAAATGCATTACATGTAAGAAAATCAATCTGAAATATGCCAGAACTATACTGAAAATAATAGTAAGATTTGTGGTATAACATCAAGAATATTTTCCCTCCTTTCTCTTACATATAGCAAATGATGACTAAAATGTAGTCACGTAGGTATTGACAAATTTCAGTGGGTACATAGACTGAGTTCTCTCTGATTACTTCCTGGTAATTAGGGACATTTCTCTGTGAGCACTTTTATTTCTTTTCATAAAATACGACAAAACTCCTTTGCAATGAGCCTGTATATTTAGCAACTGACATTGTGTGCTATACTGGAACAAAAGTAGCCTTAAAAATTGTTATGGGAGGCTCTGTGTCTTCCCATCTTTTGCTATAGAAAGAATGTATAGCAGAAGCTAATATAAAGGTAATTATACCTGTCAGCAGTTGATTTTCAAGATATTCTGCTAGTCCTTTAGTTTGGGGCATTTTAGAAGTTTTAGAAATAGTGCAAATGCTACTTTATTTTTATTACTGACTAATATTCTAAGATTCTTCACATTTTCTCCTTAACAGCAATACATCAGACAACTCCACAACCAATTATCACAAAATCTTCTACTACCACTGAGCATTCAAGGGCAACAATGGGTAAATAAGTTTCCTTAACGCTAAGATGCAGGTATTTCTAAGTTTTCAAAGGAGAAACTTCTGGAGAACATGCTAGGGTGTGGTATTTTGTATAAGGCTGTTTCACTATCCTTCATTCTGCTACACACATGCACGTTTCTTAGTACAGATAATTCTCAGTTCTATTTTAGAAGTAAAACAGAAATAGCCTACAGCTTATGTCTGGTCAGAATCCTGTATTTGTCAAATCTCCAAACAAATTCAGCAGCCTAATTTTTCTTTTAGAGCAAGAATTTTAGCCACTAACTCAACTTATCCTACAGCCCACTGCTGGGACTTTTCCGTGGTTTGGATAGTCATTTTGTTTCAGGTTCCAGAAAGCCTTGGAATTGTTACTCTCTTTTTTTTTAGGCATTTGAGGCATGCATTTTCTGTGGGCTAAATATGGCATTGTATCATGACTCCTGAAGAATACAATAATAATCTTTTTCCTTTTCTTTCAGCTCCAAAAGAAACACTACTCATTCCTTCCAAACCCAAAACATCTGTCGGGCCAGAAGTACCACAAACTAAACCTGGTAATTTACAGTTTGTAACTTTAGAAGTGTTATTGTGGCACTGCCCTAGTTACACTTTCTGCTGTCACTCCGTACTGCAGTCATGTGACATACATAATAAATAGACAGAAATTACTATCATTGTTAATAAATTATGTTAAAATGAATGCCCAATAATTTCATCAGTTTCCATGGGGAGCAGAAGCTAGGATGGATGGGTTTAGTAACCATTAAAAATGTGAGGAATTTCATTAATTTTAATAAAAATATATTGCTGTGGGGCAGATTCATAAAGTTCTTTGATTATGGGGGATTTTATTACTCCAAATATGTTTGTTTCAATTTTTCAAGTAATTTTGAAACTTGGCTTACAGAATCTCAGTCCAAGATAGATGCCAGGAGTGTAAGTACTTTCAATACCAGTGGTTTTTGTGGTAACCACAGGAGATTCAGAGATGCAGTTATAATGAAGGATGGTGATGCCTCAGCTTTACCCTGGATGTGAACTATTCCAATAAAAATTGCTAAGTAGGAAGGTTACAGGAGAAACATATTGTTAGGGGAGGAGTGACAACACGGTTTTAAGAAAGAACAGCTCCTAATCTTTCTTCCTCTCTGATCTAATCTCAGAACTGATAATATTTTCATTTTAGGCAAATAGGGAAATGAATAGTTTTATCATTTCCCCACCCCTTTTTTTCCCCCTTAGACTTCTAACCTTTTTTACATAGCCAAAAAGTATTTAAGCAGAGACTCTATTAATTCAAGAGCTGTACATATATACTGCTATGGACATCAAACTGAACAGTCCAGGAAAAAGATTTCTTTTCTAAAGACCTTATTTTGAAAGGCTGTTAAGTAATCAAGTTAGGTTCTAAGTCTCAGTTGAATAAGAGCTATTTCCAATCACAGTTAACAAGTGTCATCATTTGGTAGCGCTACAAAGTTAGTTTTAGGCAAATAATTTTAGAAAACAGAATTTAGACTTTTATTTGCCTTTTAAAGTTTGAATCATTATAATGGTGTATATACAAAAGAGACTACTGTCAGGAAAAAGTAAACAAATGTTTACTGTTAAAAAAAAAGGCACTATTTAGCCACTGTTCTTTATGCTAGTAAGTAGGTTGTTTTCCAGCATCCATATTTTAACCTTACTTCTGAAAGACAAAGGGACATGTAGTGTGTGTCTCTGCTTGCCAATCTGCCCTTTTCATCCAATAATTTAGATAGCCTTCAATAAATTCAATCAAATTTGAGTGAGGGAAGAATGTCTGAAAGGTAAATACGCTACTACAACTTTTAGAAATTCTTTAAGGAAGTGTAAATTAATATGCTAAGTATGAGAAAGACCAAAGACTGTCAGAACTTCATCTTTAAGGTATTTGTTCCGAAGTTAGTGGGAGACTAACAGAATAGTTAGTCCAGCAGAATAGTTTCACTGTCTGGTTGTCAGCATGAAAATACATCCAGACTAATCAGAAAACATGTCTGTCTCATGTCTGTTAAAATTGTCTTAGCAGATGTGTAGATAGTTTTTAGGAAACAATGAAGACAGATCCTTTGTGAAATCCAACTTCTTTAATTTCACTTCTCACAGAACAATGGTTTATTTTTTATAGCTCCAAGGGCAACACACCTGGGATCAATTAACCTTATAACAGTTCATGTTGTTGATGGGTCCAAAATACCTTTGGGTAATGAGAATATTCTGTCAGTTTATTTTTCATAAAACTTTACTTTCTCTGCTTTTGCTATATGGCTAAACTTACACTTTAATCAACAGAAATACCTTAATATATCTTTATGTCATGTTCATTTGTTAGTCACATTCCAATGCATGTACAAAATGTTGCTGGTTTTAATTTTCCAGCCATTTTTCTTCTTGCAATTCTTTCTAGAAATAAGTACTTCATGTACAAGGCTGAGGAGTCATGTAAAAAGGCATTGCCTGATCATCTTTTCTGATTTTGTCTGACTTACTAATGATATATATCTTCCCAGTATTGAAAAGTCTTTTACCTGTACAAAAGCATGATTTTCAGCCAGGTTTCTAGCATTGACTCTTTTTATTTATGATCTGCACAAAGATAGTTTGAATTTCTCTTCCACCTGTGATGTCTTATGTTTAAAAGGAAACCATTTGCCTTTGGTAAGCAGTAATATCTCCATTTTCAGTTCCCAATGAAACATACCACATTTCGCCCAAGCCCAAAACTGCTCAAGTAACTGAAATTCCATGGTTCAATACAGGTAATTTTAAAGATTTTCTAAAGTTGTTGTATTGAGAGTCAGTAGATCTTTTAATGTTTGATGGTCTGTTCATTATTACCTTTAAAACTATTTGAAATACACAATATAAAAATTTATTCTTCCCCTGATCAAATACTTTTATTACACTGAAAATTAGGTTTAATCAGTATTGCCCCAAAGATTATGTGAAGCTTTTAAACAGTGTTAGCGCTGTATATCGGATCCTCAGATGAAAAGTGTTGCAAACACAGATGTAACTGACTTCTACCTTTTTCCTTATGAAATCTAAATCTGGAAAATTTTTCCAAAGTCAAAATGCTGAAAATGAGTAGTATGTTCTGTCCTGCATAAGTATTTTCTCTGATGCTTCAGAGAGGCTAAATTATGTGTTGTGGATAGAATGGTTATTAGATTTGAATAACAAATTGCCAGCTCTATTTATTTTTTAAAAACTGACTTACAGAGGTTGATAATTGGGCAGAAGATGACAGTGACAATGGCTTATGCTTTCAACTTTCAGTATGATTCACACAGATCCTGTACCAACTGCAGTATCCAAATTATTTAGCAAGTGAAAGGCAACAATAAGAAAGGGTTGAAGCCTTCTGACTGCAACCTTAATAATGACACTGTGCTTCAGCTACCCTACCCAGTGTCTGCATTGAATGCTTCCAATTGTTTTTTCAGCAATATTTCAATGTTTCATGGGTTTATCTGAGTATTTGTTTTGGGGGAGTTCAGTTTAGTGTTTTATTTTGAGGTTGTTTGTTTGTTTGTTTTTTACAGAACCTAATTAAATGTCTTAAGGCCATGGATACCTTGCAGAGCTAACTCTGTATCCATATACAGTTGGGTAACTGGCTGTAAATATTTTATATCTTTTCCTAAACCTAAACATGAATGTAACTGGTCAGACTGCATGATGGAGTCATCTGACCACTAAAGAAACTAGCCTTTTCAACATACATTTTGGGTTGGAACTCATAGAACTTTCATATGTCCATTTCGCTGTATCACATTGGTGCATGGACCTTTTTTTTCTGGCAAATTACACTGTACTATCTATGTTCTTTTACACATAGCATTTAAACAGAACCTTATTTCTTTTAGCACCTCATAAAACACGCCTCACTTCCGCAAGACCTAAACCACTGGATAAATCACAGACTAGACCTGGTAATGATTGTTTATTCAGTCTGGGATGGGGAGGAGATTGATTAATTTATTAATTTCACCAATTCTTAGTGGAATTTTAAGCATTGCTGGGAAGAAAAAAAAAAGGGTATTTTTCAATCAGTTAATAAGTTTAGAGGTAAAACCTTTTGAAAGCAGAAAAATTTTTAAAAAAGCAACAAATAAAACTCTGTGTGTCATCACAGTGTGGAGTTGTTGGCATGACATAGAAGTCTGTCGGGTGTTTTCCTCATGGAAATTTTTTTTTTCTTCTTCTTTTTTCTTTTTTAAAATTTTAAATTCTCTCACAGCTCTCAGTAAAACCACGCTAGCACCAGCCAGAACAAAAGCACCTGGACTGCCAAAGTGGATTGTGCCACCAACAGGTAGAGCTGAGTTGTTTGTGGGAGTTTTTTTAACTTACCAGTAAAACACAGGAATGTGACTTTCTCAAACCCTCTTGAGCCCTGCAAATTATTTCATTGTGTTTTATTATAGAACTTAATTCCTCAGAGTACTGTGTGTAATTGCTGCTACTGGTCATGTTATATAAGACCTAAAGGTCATTATGAAATGATAATTGACACTCAGTCTGTCTAATACTTACAGAAAGATTGTTATGTTGCTACTGTTTACTAATGGTTTTTAGATAATAGGTCCAGAATAATCACTGGAAAACACTTTGTTGAAAAGGGTCATCTGTTTGTTTGGGTCCAAGTCAGGAGGTTTGGTAGGAAAGCCTTAAAGCCACATATCTTGCTAGCTACTATCCATGCATATGGTGTGTTCATGTCAGACCTACTCATATTCAGACATGCAGTATTTGGACTATGCAGTATTCATAATGAATACATACTTTTTTTAATTTAATAAAGCATTCATTTATTATGTCAACACAAATACCAGGGGTTTTTAATACAGCCATTGGTTAATTAAATACATTATTGGGGGATTCTTCATCAACAATGCACATAAATAATATAAATAAATAAATAAAAATGAGCATCTTCAAAGCAAAATTTTGGCTGTTCACCCACTACTAATAGTGCTACTGTCCCATACAATTGCTGTGTGCTAGCTAGATTAGGATAACCTGAGTGAGATACCATCTATTCTAAACTTTTTTTTTTTGTCTGCATAATGTTTCTCTCTACCATCTTTGTCAATTTAATACCTGTTGCTGGTCATAGAATGATTTGAACTACTCATTCCTGTACATAATTTTGAGAAGTCCACCATGGTTTTAGAAATGGGAACCTCTCATAAGAGATGGTTGTGTATTTAAACTGAATTAAACTTAACCTCTTAGAACATGGCATACTCTTCTGTATTATTTACAGGGTGAATACCTTCATTAGATGCATGTGCTCTTTGACTTTTCATAGTCTTTCTGGCAAATGAAATGAGCCCATCAAGTTCCAGGACACCAGAGACAGTTACAGCACTAAATGACCAAAGACAGTAGTTGTGGATTAGAAAGTTTTGTACTTCGCTTGTATTGGAAATCTTATAAGTGAGTTTTCTAATGACTGCTTACCAAAACAGACAGAATCCACAGAGGTCTCTGGAAGTGACCACATTATGAAATTATGCACAGATACACAATTACATTAGAATGCTATATTAAGCTTTTCTCTTTTCCCATATAGTAGTAACCTTGGCAGAGGTACTGGGAGGTTATAAAAAGAGACCGACGAAAATTAATACATACTAAGTTGCATCAGTAGTATAAACATGATAGTAGGCCTGTAAATTCTTACACATAGTTTATTGTGCTTAATGCTGTTTTAGGTGCTAAAACATGTTTTAGGAAATCTTATTTTAAATGCTCCTGTTGGTGTGCCCACCGTTTGTCATTATTTCCATGTCTTTATAATAGTGCCAGTTGCCAGGAAGAGCTAGAGCTTTGTTGTGGTAGATAATGTCAAAAGTAATTCACAAGACTACTACCTTGCTGTGCATGCTATGTGTACTCACTGGCATTCTACTGTAAAATTATACTTCTAGTAATATTTTCTATTGTCAAGTTACATAAGTCTTTTTTCTCTAAGTTAAAGCTGAAAAGTGCATGTACACCAAAGTACGCAGTGTGGGTAACAAACACGAGGAGCTGGAGGCCGTTGTGCAGCAGGAAAGCTATGATGTAGTTGCCATCACAGAAATGTGGTGGATGAGTCATATGACTGGAGTGCTGCCATGGATGGTTACAAGCTCTTCAGAAGGGATAGGCAAAGTAGGAAAGGTGGAGGGGTGGCTCTATATGTCAGAGAGTCTCTTGATCCTGTAGAGCTTGAGGTCGATAACAACAACATTGAGTGCCTGTGGATCAGAATCAGGGGGAAGACCAACAAGGCTGAGATATTGGGGGAAGTCTGTTACAGACCACCCAATCAGGACAATGAGGGTGATGATTTACTCTACAGGCAGCTAGCAGAGGTCTCAAAATCACCAGCCATCTGGTGATTCTGCCCCTGCACTCAGTGCTGGTGAGGCCACACCTTGAGTACTGTGTGCAGTTCTGGGCCCCTCAGTTCAGGATGGATATTGAGGTGCTGGAGCAGGTCCAGAGAAGAGCAACGAGGCTGGTGAAGGGACTCGAGCACAAGTGCCAAAAAATTGGGATTGTTTAGCCTGGAGAAGAGGAGGCTCAGGGGAGACCTTCTCACCCTCTACAACTCCCTGAAAGGAGGTTGGAGTCAGGTGGGGGTTGGTCTCTTCTCCCAGACGACCAGCAGTAAGACAAGATGGCACAGACTCAAACTCTGCCAGAGGAGGTTTAGGTTAGATATTAGGAAGAGATTTTTTTATGGAGAGAGTAATCAGGCATTGGAATGGGCTGCCCAGAGAGGTGGTGGATTCCCCACCCTGGAGGTTTTCAAGATGAGACTTAGTGCCATGGTCTAGTAACCAGAGTAGGGTTGGACTCAATGATCTTTGAGGTCTCTTCCAACCCGGCTGATTCTGTGATTCTAAAGAAACATCCTGAAGATATCTGTTACCCAGATTTTGTGTCCTACCAAGTGAAACCTTTAAGTCAAACTCAGTATCCAAAGCACAAAGCAAGCTTAGCATGTATTATCTACCATCCATGTGTTTGTACCTTCAACCCTGCTGTCGTAACAATGCATTGATACCTTTCTGTGAGTCTGCACGTTTCTTCTCAGAAGTGTACGAGAAATGAATTTTTTATGTTTCTGACACGTTGGGAGAGGACTGCAGCTTCTCAATCTATACTTTTCTTGATGATCAGTAAGTGAAATCCCAAGTCTTCTATAAAGCAAGTACATCACAGTATTGTGGCAGTGTCTGAGACACAAGGCTGGCTATGCTCACAGAAATAAATTTGCACGAAAGGGAGTTCAGGTAATCAATTAAAGAAATCTTCCATATGTCTCCCAAGAAATGCACAATTAATTACTTATTGTGAAAGAATTCCTAAGTCTGCAGAAGAGACCTAGGAAAGAGAACTCTATAACCTGCAATCCTAAATCTTGCCAGCTGAGCAAAGACAAAAAGAGTTTCTTTTTCAGTAGGCAATATCTTAGAGAAATTATAACGTTTTTAGATATCCAGGTGATTTTTGGGTGTGGGAAAGTTCATTTCTTCATTATGAAAATGTTATGTTATTTCCATGGTTAGCTTATCAAAATCCTTAAAATTTGATCCAAGATGATCAGAATCCTTAATTGGACTGCAAGGAACAATATGTTTCAGGCTTACCTTTAGACATTGCATCATTTATTCCTTCTCTGAAGAAAATCACGTTTACTGAAGAGCCATGGATACTGTGTTGTTTGAACACCAGTTTGGATCTGCTGGAGTACCACTGCTGTTGCCTGTGTTCCATTTCTTCTTCCTGATTGGGCTCATTAGCCTCAGTGCAAAGATGTTTCCCCCTATGCAGAGTCTGCTTGGCAGCTGCAAGGCCCAGATGATAAGCAGTGGAATTTGTTTTTTCCAACATCAGCACATGGGATTGTGGCTGGTTTCCTGGCAGGCTTTTCAGTTTCCTGGCTAGCTGCAATGCCAGGTGGTAAACTTGACTGTGGAAAAGGGGCAGGGATTGCTTCCTCATGACTAGGATTCCTTTTAGGGGGTTTTTGCCATGTTTTAGCCATTTTCACTAGAATATCATTTTATTGAGAAGGGTTTTCATATTTGCCTTAGTGTATGTAACTTATCTTAATGAGTTATTTTTTAATTTAATCCTAACCATTTAAAAACTGTTCCTCATCTATTAAGCTTCCAGACAAATGCCAGCAAACAACCTTTGAGGAACATTTCCATTTCCCTTGGGAAAGAGCGAGATACTTGGTTTTCATTATAATGGCCATTAACTTTGTGATCTATTTTCTTTACATTTTTTGAACTGTGGGTTTCTCTGGAACTCAACTATAAAGGTGTTTCAGTTCACTTTATCAAGGGCACTTTTTCCATTACTTTCCTTAAAATGATCCACCCTTCTAATCATAGTCCTGCTGTTAAAGACAGAGTGATTAGTTTATGGGTTTTCCAGACCTCATGAATATTTCCAGGGAAAAATATAGAACTAATAGGAGACACAAATACATATGCGATTTACACATCTGTTATCAGTTCTGTTAACGTGTGGATGAATGGGATAAGTGGAAATGCTTATAATAAGCAAGTTACATGAGCTAGAATAAGAGACTTTGATAATGCAGGTACCTTGCATGGAAACAAAAACTTTTATATAACTTTAAACTGTATTAAAGCATTCAAAATAGGAGATTTTGTCAACAGTGAAGTATTGTGATTTGATCCTGAAACTTTGACTAATTTTTCATTACTACTTTACTAACAGCAGAAGAGCAGTGCAAGTTTCTGGAAAGAAAAAAATTGCATCTTCCGTCTAGAACATGTACAATATTTCATTCATTCCATGCTGATATAACTCAGAATAGTCTGTGATTCTAAATTAGATTGTAAGGAGCAGGATAGAGACAGGCTTTTCTGTAGACACTGTAACATGTAAAACTCAACTAGACTTGTAATGGATACTTGAGTTATTTAGTGTGAATTAGTCAATGTGCTACTACATTTTTCTTATATGTTTACTGAGAGGTGAAGCTGAGAAGCTAAACATACTCTATCACCTGTGGTCTACAAGATTATTTTTTCTTTCAAAGCTAGTGCTGGTCTTCTCATGCCTCTTCTTCCTTCAACACCATTCATGTGAAAATTGACTATCACTCTGGGGCTTTGTATATCTGAAGATCTAATTAATCACTTCATTTAACTGAAGACAAATTGCAGTTATATAAAACCACATGATGTGTTTATAAATTTTAGTCACAGAGACCAGGTGACCTGCATCCTGTTCCCAGTTTACTACAAGTCTCATTACTTTAATCTTAAGTAAATCATTTGTTGTGTCCATGCTATGGACTGTGGATTTGTAAGGTACACATAGCAAGAATAGCCAAATATTAAAGTCATTGAGAAATTATCTTCAGGCTGTTAGAATACCAGTGTAATGTCAAAACAAACTGAGAACCAGACTATAAACCTATGAAATCTTTGGTTGAAATAATTAGATCATGTTGGAATAGAGTTGGAATTTGATAATTAATGTAACATTGAGATTCTCTTTTAATTTCAGGGCTTTCTTCCCTACCCCATGAAGAAGTGGGGGGGGGGTGTTTTGTTCCCACAGACATGATGAAGCTGCAGTGCATCTTCATACTCTACTATATATACAGCTTTTATAAAGCAAATATACTTATTTTGTATACAGAAAGCACATTAATTTAACTGTCTGGCTGTGCTATAAATATTCGCATGTAAAACAGTTGTTCTGTACCAGGAGTTGTGTTGATCTTTTCAATGCCACTGACTTTAATTTTTTTTAAATGTGTTTATATAACTTTTAAGTAAGACTTTCTCTTATATACAAACTGAATTTTCTGTATACTTTCTCTCCTGTACTCCAAATATGGTATAGACTTAGTTCAGAATTCCTCTAGCCATTCAATATGGAGGATGACCAAAGATGATCTTGTAAGGGAAGGAGAACTTTGACCTTTGCAGGAATCAATGGACATTTTATTCTGTACCCAGCAAAACCAGAATGTTCTCTGTACTCATCTTTCCATATATAATCTTGGTTTAAATCATCTGCTACCTCTTAATCTTATCAATTCCTTCCAAATACACTTTTTTCAAGGAATGTTTAAAATTAAATTGCCATCTCTCTAGAATCAGATCACTTTCTACTTACTTGAATAAGAAGATAATGGATATTACCAAGTTATCACTAAAAACATAGGTGGGCCATACATGCTGGGTTTGGACTTAATATTAGCTAGATTTTGAACACATGCAGTATACAAGTATTCTGTGACTTGGTGCTGCACTGTAGATACTTATTTCATTTCCTTTGTTTCACAGCTGACGTATATACATCTGAGGATATTGGCAGAAAAATTGGTGTGGATGTAGGAAAACCTTTGGAATATATTGATACCTGGGAAAAGCCAATTTCAGGTAAGGTTAATAAAAGAAGAATTAGAGCAAGTTTCAACAGTTATGAAAAATCTGAACACCACACTTTCTACACAAAAAGCACCTCCACTGAGAAGAGAAAATAATTCATCATACTCATCAATACACCTTCTCATGGCTTCAGGATACTACTAAGAAAAATAAAAATGAGAATATTTCAAGGTCATTACTTAGTCACTAACATATGCTGTATGTTAAAAATTATTGTCACCAGTGTTGTATCCTTATGATCAAACAACCACAATACTGTAAGAACTGCTTTTTTCATACTAATAGTTTCTACATAGTAAAGGAGAACAGCTGAATGCATAACCAAATTGTACTCCCATTTATGAGAAAATTGTTGGGCAAATTAGAATATTAGGCCTGTAAGAAAACAACAATGTGGAGTAAATAATTTTACAGGGGTATTTTTGCATGGGCTGTACAAGGCTTGTAAGGTTTGCTTTTCTCAAGTCTTGCAAACATATTTTCAAAACAGTCAAAATATTTTTACTGAAAATGCCTTCCACATATAGGCCTTCAAAAATAGGCCTTTTGTATTTCATGTTTTTCTAGAGTGCAGTATAGTAGATTCAATTGTGACACAGCACACTGAACATGATCTTTTTGCTTGTATGTAACTGTTGTGGTTGTGTTGTTCAGAAAATATGATAGAAACCTCTGGCAAGTCAATACTTGCATGCTTTTACCCCATAAATATCTCAGACAATCCCATTCCCTAAATATAGGCAGGGGGAAAAGTAATGATGAACACTACCATGTAGTAGTATCTAAGGTATGATGACATATATATACAAAAATGTATTATCCTCTTTCTGATCTTGGATATATTGTTTTCATCTCCAACTGGGTATGAAGCATTAATATGAAACCTACAAATGCTATTTTCAAAACCATTACATCTTCCTAACTGAGAGTATTATATCCTGTTTTGATCTGAGGGATTTAAAAGAAAAAAAATAAAGTGTTTTATGAGTGGCTGAAACAATCCAAAAGGAAAGGGGAACAGAGAAAGATGGAGGTGATACTATTTGTATATTGTAAGTATTTCTAGAAAGGCTCTCCCAAATGTCTTTGGATCTGCTCCTCCTTGCCCACAGTCTGTCTACAGGGTAAACTAAGGCCTGATACAGAGGGCCTGAGGTACTCTGTGCAGCCAGCAATTCAGTATCAGGTCACTTGTGTATTTGTTGACATTGGCAACATTTTAAGATTTATATTGCTCTTGAGGGTTTTCCCTCTTACGTACAAAATGTCTTTTGTTACATAAATGTATTGCAAATATCTCCTGCTTTTTCTTAAGGAAAGAAGGGCAAAGGTGAATAGTGGAAGAAAAATCTTTTCCTTTGCCTTTCCTTTGCATAATAAAATCCTTCATAATTGCCTAGAAAAGACAATAAAATGGTTTGTAAGTATGAATTAAGAGGATTAGGTTCTCTTTTAGACCTCACTGTCAAAGGACTTTACCAGATAAATTTAATAGATACTGGCTGGAACTGCACACTGAAACAACCAATTTGAGTGCTTTAGAAATTTCTACCAGAGCAACTGTCTTTAGCCATGTCAGTGCATGAAATGACAGTGACTTTTTTTATTTTTCACTATTGAATGGCATAGGATAAGGTGTTCCTAATGACAGTTTCCCTTTTGCTACATCTTTTGCTTCTAGCTGAGGTTGACCAGTTGTACCAGTTAGAAAGTATAAGAGTTTTGAAATTTTCTGGGTAGGATACTGCAGATGTTTCCTAGTACACTGAGATGATGTTTATTGTGTGAAGACTTACCATTTCTGGATACCAAAAAATTAGTGTTGACAGAAATTAGTAACTACACAGAAAGTGAAATCACAAAATCCCAAAGGAGCTACAATTTTCCAGTGTAAGCTTGGTTTAGAACCTCACAGCACACACTTCTCAGGAATGCAAGACTGAAAATACAACTCATTTCAGCTCCTAACCTCACCTCTCCACTTTTGATACTAAATCAGACATGAAATATTGTTTGAGAAGTCAGAATCTAACTTGTAATGGGTTTATGATTTTATGGATTTTGAGGTTAAATCACTAATAACACTGTCTTGTAATGTCATTTAGTAACTACATCACCTGGCCCTCAGCACCCTCCTATACTTCCTGCCAAGCCTACACAAATGAGAAGAAAACCTCTACCACCAAACACCGTGACTGGTAAACCAGGGAGTCCAGGTATCTCAGCCTTTTCATCATAGATATTGTATTGTGTGTGAGATAATACTGACTAGCAGGGTATGGGAGAATTTTATAGTATAAATTTCTTTAACGTATGATATCTATAGAAACAAGTCTTTTGGAACACAGGCCTTGTGTCTTTTGCCTTCACTTCATACATAAACTCTCTTTTCTTTTGTTTTCCTAACCTGGTTATGTCAAAATCATCCCTAGTAAGGGAGCTTAAAGCAAAATAGCACACTCCGTGTCATCTTTTAAGATCAATCTTAAGAATATTTCACATCTACTAATAGCATTTGTAGCTACTTAATGTGCATGTTGAATGGGAGATACTCGATATTATGCTTCAATGCATACTCCCAGCTGGTAGTTTGTTAAGAAATTCTGTCACAAATATATGGTACACTCATTAACCACTGCAAATAATGAGCTTATAGTCACCCAGAGAACTAAATGCACGGGGAGGTTGAGCAAGCTGAGTTATTTCATGTGCAAAGAGTTTAGCTTGATTATTGTGCTAAAGTATTCCAGCTTCTCAGTATCAGTTTAGGAGCACACAGAAACTTCCACATTGCCTAATTAATTTTAATTTTATCCTGAAGCTGATATTCAGTATCCACATGTATGTTTTGTCTGTGGATTCTATATAAGAATCCTTAGGCTAACATTATCGCAGGTAGTTAGAAACTGTCATCTCCTTATGGTTACCATCATGACAAGTGCCTTCCTATTCATATTGCTCTCTGTAGTTCCTTGGAAATAAAAAGGTCTTGGCTGTACTGTATTTTCTGTTGTCTTTTTTTGGTTTGTTTCATTTCAGACTTTGTGTGCTATTAAGGCACTAAAGACCTAAACAATTCTTTAGTCTTTTGTGCAGCAGAGGAGAAGCAAGAATCTCCAGGCTGCATGAAACAAGCTGTATATTTACTCAACAGCAGAGCCAAGATTGAAATGTTGTGTCTGTACTTGCTGTTGATAGGTGGTGTTTCCTTAGTAACAGCTACAACAAAACACAAGGCATTGTCAGTCCTAAGCTGTGGCAAAAAAGATGTTGACCTGATACATATTCTTTTGCTTGTAATGAAGTCCATACTAATTTTGTCCATTAGGTGTCTAATTAATTTACCAGTGTTTTGAAATTTCACCTTTTTTTTCGTACACTAGAGTCCAGGTTATGTGGTAGTCAGCAGTTACCATACCTTCCTAGGCATTCAAGATGGAATAAATTGGTTAGATGATCTGGTTCTTCCTTGTGGGGCCAGCAGTAGATTTTCCTTCTCGTGTTTCCTAGTGTTTCATCCAGCTTAGTTTTAAACATTACAATTTAGTTTCTTCTTTTTCCCTGAAGAGACAGTTCCACTGCACTAACAGGAAAAATTTGCCTCAATGATGTTCTTGGATTTTCCCTTTCAGAATTCTGTCCTCCTGCTCATTAACACTATGATTAATTCCTTACTTGCATCTTTCTAACTCGTTCAGTGGATGAATATTATGGAAAAGTTTCTATGCAGATATTAAAAGTCTCCTGAATGGGAAAAAAATGAAAACAAGAGAGTTCCAAAACCTTTGTGAAACTGGACTCTAGTGAGAATCTTTAAATTTCCACTTTATTAAGAAAATCAGTGGAAAGTAGGGGGGGTTTGTTGTTTTAAACTTGGTTCACTGGAGTTCTCCCTTCAGTCACCATGTTCTTCTGTGTCATATATGCAAGGAAGGTAACTACATTATGTAGTTCTTGGCTTTTTTGGGGCTGAGATTTCATAGTCATGTCATGGCTATCTGGGAGTATCTGCATGTTTTGTGACTTTAGTTCTTGTCTTTTATAGCTATTTAGAAAGAAATCAAGAAATCCTTTACAATCCAGACAACCCAAAGACTGTTTGCCTCTTAGAAACCTGTTTTCTTTATTAGGTGGTAACAGCTGAGGAGTAAAAGCAATGTCACATAATCTAAAATAATTTTCAGAATAGCTATTCAATTATGGGAGATAATATTGACTCTTTCAGTCAGTTTCTGTCCAAAATTATGGTACCTACTACAGAATAGAGGAGTTGAGAAAGAAAACTTTTTCTCATGGGTCATGTAGTGATGTAAGTGTTGAAAATGTTGGACTCACTTGCATTTTCCTTACTTTCATTTGAAGTGTATCTTTATATCATTTAGTGGAAGTTCCAGTACTGTTCTGTGGTTAAACTCTTAATGAAGACCACAGTTAAGAACTTGGTGTTTATCCTTATACATGTTCCAGATTCAGCCTTGCTAATATATGTGTTCCATTGAGAGTAATGACAGGTTTGTACCTATATTTGAGGGAAGAAACTAAGTTTCAGTTGCTGACTTCAGCTATTGTGTCTTACAACTCATGTGCTCTTTTATTTAAGAAACAGAAACATTAATGCTGGTCATTTTGCACCCTTTTACCAGTCTGTGTAGGATGGTTCTGTGCTTTAAACCAGGTCATAGTTCTCCTGACTGGAGTCCTCCAAGACAATCTCCAAGTAGCAAATAACATTCTTACTGGATTTCAGGATTAGGTTATATTTGCAATAAGCACGATTCAGAATTCGCATAAATCCAACCAGAAGCTGTTGTATAAGTTTTGAAGGAATACCATGATTTAAATGAAAATACTTGTTGCATGAATCAGTTGTCACAAATCTGAGTTCCCTTAGAAAATCAGAAAGCTGTTTGACTCCTTTTAGTATTGAAAACCTCATTGCTAATAGTCCCTCCATCTGTCACTACAGCTAAGCCTGCTGGACCAACACCACCTGTGAGAACAGGAACATCATACAAGGCACCAACAGCTTTTGCAACTCCAGAGTATTATGGTAAGTATATTACAGACAGTTCTGGTTTATTTTTTCCTTCTTATTTTTTTTCCCATTAACATAAAGGTTTCCATTTTTCTTTTGCTTCCCTTCCCTAAACTGTATTGTTGCCCCATTAACATAGAGGTTTCCATTTTTCTTTCGCTTCCCTTCCCTAAACTGTATTGTTGCTTTGTATATTTAATATAAGTATTCCATCTGGGGTGATTCTGATTTCTGTTATGCCACTTAGCATCTTTCCTAATTTGGCCAAGTTCATCTAGCTGTCTTCTGACACACATCTTGGTAACTGAGAACATGACAGCCCTTCTATCTTTCTAGAAATCCATATATGCTAAGTAGGCTTTCAATGCTATTCAGTGGCAATTCAGATCTCTGAAAGGAGTAGATAAGACACTTCTTTTCCTGAACATTTCTTATTACACAGGACATAAATTCAAACCATTATTTGACAGTGACTGAGAGTGCTCATCATGGATGTGATATACTCCTGGCTGTCTGATCAAACTGCCACCATTCGAACAGGAAAAAATGTGATAGGGCAAACATAGTGGTTAGTTGCTTGTTTGTCCTTTATAAAATTGGGAGTTGATTACAAGTCCAGACCTAAGTCTCTTCAAAGCAGCATACAGTAATGGGTTTGGAGGAGGATGTTCTTAAGAGTTTTTGAGGCCAAATATGCAGTGTATTGTCATAAATTATGCTGTTTCTAATTTTCCTGGATTTATAGGAATACTGAAATTCTTGTCTCCTTATAAAGATCATGAACTCACTGTGACCCTTACTTCTCAGTAAAGCAAGCTGGATGCTAGATTGATTTATAAATCCTTGTTGTAAATGTATTGTGGTTTATCCATTGAAGTCCATTGCAGTATTTGCATCTAAAAGAAGATTCTGTTCAGTGTAGTGGCTAATTTATACAACACTGGTGTCATGAATCCTGACTGCTTTACTACATTTCTGTCCACCACTGTATTTGCCTTCAATTTTCTTTGGATTCTGTGGAAGTTGTACACCCTGGAGAGAGAATTTGTGATTTCCTTGTTCAATTTAGATTCTGTGGAAGTTGTACAACCTGGAGAGAGAATTTGTGATTTCCTTGTTACTATTTTCAGATAAGCTAATGTGCCAAAGTAATAGAGCTATATATTCTAGGAACATGAAACAAGCTCCAAGCTAAACAGCCAGTACCGTGCAAAAAGATCCTTTTTAAAAGGGCTAAAAGGCATTTTTATGTATATTAAATGAATTGAGATTCTGTGGAAGTTGTACAACCTGGAGAGAGAATTTGTGATTTCCTTGTTACTATTTTCAGATAAGCTAATGTGCCAAAGTAATAGAGCTATATATTCTAGGAACATGAAACAAGCTCCAAGCTAAACAGCCAGTACCGTGCAAAAAGATCCTTTTTAAAAGGGCTAAAAGGCATTTTTATGTATATTAAATGAATTGAATCCAGCAGCAGTCATGAAGTCTGTCATTTCAATTATGGCTATACTAGCAGGTAAGTACAGGGTTTACTTATTATTGCAGGCAAAATGGAGTCCCTAAAATCAAAAGAGATCTGGCAGCAAAAGTCTACCATGGAAGACCTTTATTATGATTATAAATGCCAAAGGAACTGTGAAATCCTGCAGTTCTAATACTGAAACTTTGTATTTACTGCAAATTATATTATGACTGTATTTCCCACAGTTGATGCAACTGTCTTCAGCTCAAGTCCTACATCAGAAACAGATTCTTCAGGCAAACCAAGATACCAAGGTAGGATATTCATACCTATGGCATTTTTATTTGGGGGAATATATGAAGCCTGACTTATCCTGCATCAAAATTATCGTGTTTGGTTATTCAAAGACCAAAACTTCATTTGATTCTGTTTCACTTCACTAGCAGATAAAAAAGATGCAGCACGAGCCATCAGCGTTTTTCTTGACTAAATTTTACTTTTACTTTCTGCCCTATTACCTCCTAGTTTACAGTTTTGCCCACAAACATGTGGCTCTTCCTGTATGCCAGGTTTGGTACAACTGCACACTGTTCACATTCCACCAAACTAAATTTAAATCTTCCTGTGGGCTTGCAGGCCTTTTTAGAAAGGTATTGTCCCAATACCAGTGCACCTTACCATACCTATCTGTCCACCATATAGCCCTCAACTCTCCCCAGGCTGTAGTCAAGTTATTGCTGTCGCAGTAGTCTAGAGAGTTTAACAGGGTGAGCTAACAGGAAGAAGTGCTTTTGTACCAAAATATTTTTCTGGGTTTTTCTCATGGTCTGGTAAGAGACACTACATTTCTGAAGATTGTCTTTCTTGGGAGACTTTATCATTTACATCCAATAGTTTTCATCTTAGAACTAGTGCGTTTGTCTTCAGTAATCTTTCTAATTTTGATGCAGAGTACAAGACATTTGCCTCAGAAGCTTTGTTTCAAGGTTCAGTCTTGTACCACTGAAAATGGTTAAGATTTTGACAGTTGCTTTAGAAACTGAAGTTTAATGATACGAGTTTAATAAGTCTTGGCTAAACTTGTTATGCCTGGTGAAACAAAGTGTGTGCAACATCTCTGTATTAGCTTAGCTCTCCAGAGCTGCAAATGGAACTGTTAATTGTTAATTGTCCTATTCTATGGCAGATTTCAATTCTTTCAAACAGTGTGTATCACCTGCTAATACCTTCAGTGGTATTTCATCAGTGGTGCCAATAAGAGTGGGGTGAACACAGTGCAAACTCCAGGTCTGACAACAATAAATAAAAAAAAATAATTAAACCCAAACAGCTTAATATTCAATATGTGGATTTTATTCTGAAACATTTGTGTTTGACTTGTTGCATAGACTTTTACTTGGTGCCCTGAGATGGATGTTGTGCATTAGGTGAAAGGGCACTGACATTTTGTAAAAACATTCTATTAAATAACAGCTTTTTCCTATTACTCTTAGCCCCCCATGTCAGGTACATGACAAAAGACAGTGACGTGCCCTGCTCTATCACAAGCTCTCTTGAACATTTTCCTCAAGAAGAAGCTAGCACCAAGGAAGAACCCACTCGTCCTCCACAAAATCCTCCAACCAACCTCACAGTGGTGACTGTTGAGGGCTGCCCAACTTTTGTCATATTGGACTGGGAAAAACCTGACAATGACACTGTTACTGGTTAGTTTGATTTTTTCCTTCATTTTATGATAATACAATATTTCTGTCTTAATTTAGTAGTTTGATGCCATTTAAAAAGTACTTTAATCCAAGGGATTGAGGGAGTCCAGTGTTTCTATTTTGTGCTACTGCCAACTCTAGCGTGAGTAAGAAAACACTACTAGATTAGAACATGATTTTCACAACTAGATCATTAGTGTCAGTGATGGCACAAAAAGATATGTTAGTATGACTCTATCTTCTCTGGATTTCTGGCTTCTTTCTGTACAGGATCTGGTAAGATCTAGTCAAGAAGTTCCAACAATGTAACAGTACTCTATTATACAGATTCACACAGGTAATGTAGACATCTTGACTTGAGGACATTGTTGATCAGTGGGACAGACACAATGAAACCTGGCATCCATCTAGTAAGTCAGTAGAACTTCACCAGTATAGTACTTGCAGCACTCACCTTAGGGTCAGCAAGTTCTCTATGTCAAAAGAATCTGGTTTCTTCATTTCCAAAGAAAGGGGTTTGTCTCAAGAATAAAGCCAGGTGAGTCATGCAGGAATCAGTATATAGAAAGGCAAGCATGCAAGACAGCCATTCATAATTCTTCTGTCATCTGCATATCAACACAAGCTTACAAAAATTGAACACTAAAAGTAGTCAACAACTCAGTCAATGACTCATCCAGGCACACTTGCTGGATTCAAGAGAAGGCATTGAATCCCATTTTCTGAAAACAGCAATTGCTTCATATTGGCACCAGTATGGCATTACTTATTTAGACAGACTTAAGTCAATTTTTCTGTCATCTCTTTTCGGATTTTCTTTGTAATTTATACATGTTTTTGCAATCATCTGATCTGACATCACTTCTTTTTTTTTTTAATGCACTGTTTCAGCTAGAACTGTGGAAACAGAAAATATAATTGGTTGAGCTTTTTTTTAAAAAATGGTTGCTTTACTTGACTTTTAGCTATGCACAAGGGGTTTCATAGGTTATGCCTAAAACCAAAATTGTACTGGAAGTTGGTAATGGAAAGGTCTGACAGATAATAACCAAAACACTAATCAAGCCTACCCTCTCGTTTCCATTAAGGCTGCAAATGTCAGGAGCCAAGACCATTTTGCTCATACACTACTATTCCTGTTATGTTGCCACAGAAATGTAGGGCAGTTTGTTGCCTTGTACACTGAGAAACAAACAGGTGCTGGATGCACTCAGTAGTACTAGGAGTATGTGTGTGCATGCACATCTTTGCTTGCCCATTCATGTTTGCCGCATTTTGTTTTCCAACTTGAATGATTTTAACTTTCCAAGTCACATATTACTTGGGACTGGCAGAAGGCAGAAAGATTGAATTCCTGTACAGTTACTTACTCATTCTGTGTCTGGGTATACCTAAGACAGATATCCACCATCTCCTCCATGCTTCCTAATAAGTGTAATTCCTCTGATGAGGCTTAATTAGGACAATTAAGGACTTTTCTGTATTTTGGGGGTTTTTTTCTCCATGGTTCACTCAGCCCTTTTGCTGACTAGATAAGAAAATGTCTCTTCAAAATATAAATGCATAGAAAGAAAACAGTTATGTTTTAGACAAATACATAAATTATCAATGCTAATATCATAGGATTGAGGTCCCACTTGAATAAATGAGCTAAAGTAAAAAACTCTACTTATTTTCCTTCCCCTTTCCCTCTCATCTCAGACACCCACTCCTGCAGGTCCTGCAGTGCTGTAGATCTAAATGCTCATTGTAAATGTTGTTTGAAAGCATTCTCCTTTGCCAGCTTAAAAGTAGCAAAGCTGTGCATGGCATTACAGAAAGGTTTTAGGAAGGGAAAAGGAAGGGGCTGATGAAGTTGTTAATTTCTTTGCAAAGAGAGGAAAATTAGCAATATACTCAGTTTTTTTATTAGAAGAGGTCGTTATAAACTGAGACAGAAGCCGTCTGCTAGAGAGAAACTGTATCTTGACCAGGGCTATGTCTGAAGAGGTGTCTTGCTCCCAAACATCTGTTGTTAATTCCCTGCTCAGAGCATGGTTTGTGCTTGATGATACATCCAGTGAGATGAAAAGAAAGTAGTGAGACTCTATAACTCATATGAGTACAGAAATAGATTTATGCAAAATTATTTCATTCTAGACTGGCAGATTTCCTAAGTTCACAATCCAAGTTAGTTAGACAGTTTCCTCTGGAAATCTTAAAAAGATAGGCCTTATTTTAAGTTAATCAAGGTTTAAGCATTTAGAAACTGTACTTTCAAGAGTTTCATTCAAACTGCAGAATGTTTATACTTACCTGTGATTGGAATTTTTTCACTAGTGTACCATTAGGCAGAGGTGAGATGATGAGTATACTCTATCCCATAATTTAATTATGGGGAAGGATGAGAGACTAGGCACACAACAATCTGGAATTGGTTCTGTCTTTCCTAATCATTTTAGCATATTGATGTCCAGACTGGTTTGCACAAGTTGTCCTTACAGCCTGTAAGACAGTAGGAATGGAAATCAGATGAGAAAAGAGAGAGCATTGAAGACGGTCAAATAAGACATGTTTCTTAATCAAATTTTCTCTACTGTAATTTTCCAGAGTATGAGGTTGTGTCAACTGAAAATGGTGGACGTGAGGGTGAAAAGGAGAAATCAATTATCACTACAAATCAAACCCATTCTACTGTGGAAAACCTAAAACCTGACACAAGGTAATTAAATGCAATCATTTGCTAAACTACTCCAGCTAAATTAGATTCTCAGCTGTCTGCCACTTCAGGTGAAAATAAATATACATATAAGACCAGATTGGTTTTATTCCTGTTCTGATAGAAAAAAAAAATATATGCTTTGGTTTTGCTTTCTGTTAAGCTAACCAATAAGACACAGCTGAGGAATCTTTGGGAAATTCCCAGGACTATTTATGGTCTGGACAAACTGCAGAAGTGACCCATTGTATCAGAAAGAGTAACAGCCAAACACAATAAAATGTACTGCTTTTTCTCAAAAAGGTGTTGGATGCAGATTAAGAAGCAATATAAACTTTCTCTGGGGTTTCAGGATGCTCAGCACAACGGACATAGGCAGCTTGCTTATTTAGGTGGATGTTAGTTCAAACTGTGAAATACAAGTCAGGCCACTGTACAAAGCTTGACTAGTGCATTGCACTATGAAGAGGAAAAATGCATTTGTCCTGTATATGTAGTTCTCTTTCAGCATCTCAAAACACCTGGCAGATTAAAAATGGGTCAGCTAATTTCAGTTGGTGGTGACCCTGTCATGCAATTAATCCTAATAAACATTACCATTCTTCAAATCTCATATCTCATCAAAAATTTTTCTTCTTTTTTTTGTAGTAAAATTCAGAGCAGGGAAGAAAAATACTTGTCTTTTTTTTTTTATTTTAATGTTGCTTATTAGTAGCATCAAAAACTTAATGAATAACACATTGGGGGTTTTTCTGTAAGACCATACGTTTGGCTTTGGCAATTGGATTTTTCAGATAAACTGCCCTTTTCTAGTATTATCCATAAATTGGTAACACAGCACAAAATTCTGCATAGAACCCACTTTTAGGCAATGTGTGCTATAGTCTGGTGCGTTGGTTCTTAATTCATGTACTTGTAACCAGCAAGGTCACATCCTAGAAGGAGGAATGAGGAACTATTACAGCAAGTGGAGAGGAAGGGAAGAGAATTTGAAAAAAAGTAATTAAAAACAGTCTAGGAGAAATTGTTCTACCCAAAAAGAGCTTCTTTGACAGACTCCAAAACTTGTAAGATGGCTAGGATTGCTATGTATTGCTTCAAGAATATCTCTGTTATTTCTTCAAGGCACATAGCTAGAGAAAGGGCAAACTGCAGCCGTGTTGTTCTGTCTTGTTAAGAGGCAATTAGGATATGTTAGCAATACATAGCATGGGCACCAAGCATTGGGTTTCTCAGTTGAAAAGGCTTAGAAAAAACAGCAAAACAATATGTCTCTGTAGTAGTAACTAAGAGAGGCAATAGGTGCTGCTAAACTTGTCAGGCTGTGCTGTTTGTGTTTTCATTTCAGTTTTCATTTGAAATAATACAGTTGCATCCTTGAAAAAAGCTCTGTGTTATTAAGCAGATTCTTTCATTACACACTCAAACTCTTTGTGTGACATAGGGTGGCAGAGATGGGATGGATTTGGTTTAGTGTAGAAAAGACATGGAAGCAAGGAAAAGTCCTTGATGTTGAAAGCAATGTCCAGATGGCCATAAGAGAAAAGCATTTTTAGACTGCTTTTTTTTTCAGAAAGGAAGCAAAATGGAGGTAGGTAAACCCTGCTAGAATCAGTGGAAAGATTATAAGGAAGGCCGGAGCTATGCAGAAGCAGAAATATGTTTTTTAACTTTAATTAGTAACAATTTTCTCAATGCTCTGAGAGGACTTTCAGGTTTTGGTAAGCAAGGATAGACCAAAGGCCATGAAGAATAGCATGGATTTTGTAAAAAGAAGTTAGATATGAAATCAGTACTGACTGGTGGAGGCAGATTATTTCCCCACCCCCAAATTCATTCCCAAGGGAAAGACAGTGAAACTCTTTCTGGATTCAGGAAGCTATTGCTTGAAGTTGAAAACCTTTGATATAAATTGCAGTGGTGGGTATCTCTCAAGTCTCACTAGATTTAAAGCATGTGAAGTCCTCAGGGTGCTTGTGTTCAATTAAATTCCCATTCCAAAAGGGCATGTTTCCTAATTTTGAAGCCACCTTGAGAGCTGTTACTGTAACCATTTGAATCCAGGCTTGTTGGCACACTAAATTTAGGGAAAGTAAGGAAGCATTTAAGACAGCTGGCATCATGTACAGTATCAGTTGTGCAAGGAATGGCATATGTCTGTAACAAAAGTCTCCTGTCTGTCAGGAGCTGGTTGCTCACTAGATGAAGAAAATGAACCTGTGGACAAAACTGACTGAAAAGCAGAGGAAGAGAGACAATGATACACAGCTCAGTAAATTAATTAGCAGAGTATCTGAAACATCTACGAATTCATTAAGACTGGAAAAGAGACTTTTCCATTGCCTGAAAGGAAAGAGCCTTAAAGGAAGAGGTAGAGCTGGAAAAGAAACTTGTAAGAGAAATAGAAATCCCTCTTGCAAGTGATCAGCATTTACAAAGCTACCAGCAAGTATAAGGGGAGAGAGATGCTCAGTAGCAGAAGGTGGATTAACTGGGAAAAGCCTCTTGGCCTTGAAAAACTCTATAAACTGACAAGCTGAATTTGAGAGCTTATTTTGTCCAGCTTTCCTGAAGCCATCAGTGAGGCTGTATGAATTCCCCAGGCTGCTCTGAAGGCTTCAGGGCTGAAGACAGTTCAGGACAGATCTAAACCAAACAGACCTAAACAAACAGTTCCCAAAAGGGAATAAAAATGTTTGTGAATGTGGTACCTCAGTCTTTTTGGGTAAATAGCCCATAGCAGCAAGTCAGTTCAAGCCTGTAATTCTCCAGATGTACTGCCTTGAGGAGCAGTACATGACAGAGATGGTCTGCAGTCACATTGCCCAAGGTCTATCATCCTGTTGAGGTAAATCAGGTAGGATATGTTAGAGCCTGGCCCAGAAGCTAAAGAGTTAATTGCTCACATCCAGCAGGAGGAAAGTAAGAAAAACAACTTTTCAGTGTGAAGAGGGCAGAACAAGCAGCAGGGAAAAATTGGGTGCATCTGAGCCTGCCAAATCATGCTGTTTGTTTGCTTTTCTCTTTTACATTCTTCATTCAAATAGATCATACTGCTACACCTCTGGGAAGCTCTGCCGTTAGCCAGACACTCTTCTTCCTTTGAGCTGGCCTTTCGACAAGGCAGCTTTTAAAGATTAGGAGATAATGGCCAGACTTTGAATATTTCAGGAATTTGGACAGTGTTAGGGAGGCAACAATAAGAGACTCTTAGTCTCTCATCAAAAATTGCATGTATGACTGCAGCTGTCAGTAAGTACAAACATAGAAGTTAAATGGGATGAGGATTATCATGTAGTATTCTCTGTGTCCATTTAGCTGTCTGAAAAGTGACTAGATCCAGAAAAAATGCACTGGCTGAAAAAGGAGTTCTGACTTTTGAGTACAGTTATCAAGTATTTGGTTTTAACAGACTCATACCATGCTAATATGGAAACAAAAATGGACCTTCATAGGCATACAACTTGTGAGGGTTACTTTTAAACAAATAAAGTTGTATACATTATGGCAGTTTGTCATCTTTCTGTCTTACATATGACAGCTTTATGTGTTCTTGGTGACTTGACTGCAAGACATTGATACCCTGAGGTGAAAGTAAAATGGTGGTTTTGAAAAGCTTTTTGTGAGGACATATACCTATTAAATAAATGTGAGGCACAGTCAGCTGCTTTGCAAAGCAACTGATTATTTTTTTTAAAAAGGAAGGTTCTAAAGGCTCCTGTACAATGTGATTTTTGTTGGAGCACTGAGATCCCTATGCTTTTTGCCCACGGAAGACATATCACATCCATGCCGTTTTCCCACAGTAAGCCATGCCTGACAGTTGGCAACATCACATTCATTTAAAGGATTTAAATATCTATAGGATAAGGATATTGTCCTCTTTTTCACCGAGAGAATTGCCAAATATGGTGATTGCAGGATTTCATTATCCCATCTTGGAAGACTTCTGATAGTTACAGTAACCTGGAAAGTTCAAGTCTTGATATGCATAATTTGGTTGGTCAGACTTCTTGAAACCAGTACTCTTCCTGGCACTAAGCTGTTGTCTGGGTTCAGTCTAGAATTGTGCTTAATTTCATCAGATATTTGTAACCTTAACTTGAAATCTCTCAAAGTATATAGTGTGGTTATGCTCTACATAAACACACAGACACACACACATAT